GAATTTTCTACTTTCCCTCGTCAATGCTTCAGGACAATGCAACTTTTCCAATGCAAAAATGGCCTTGCTAACTGCTTGACAAAAATTGGCCCTGTCAGCTAATGGAGTCCACAGCACAGCCAACAGGGGTGCCCTGTCCCATAATCAATCACATGATGCAGCGCATGAACAGCATTTGAATGGTAATGCCTATCAACTTGGGGGGTCCAGCCCCCTCAAATATTTTATTGGGGGGCTGAGGGGACCTAGGCCCCTAGATGTTGGCTCTTATGATAGCCAACATGATTTCCTGCAGCGGTTGTGACCTTCAGTTTTGAGACCCTATTTGGAGATGCATTTTTTATTTCTTGCATGCCCAGGAGATTACATTTGGACACGGCACCAAGCATTACCACAAAAAAACCTCTAATTGTTCAGATTGTTTTTATTCCTTGTGTATTATGTGACAGTTCATTTTGTGGGCACCTGTTTATCCCACGTTATTTTAAGTTGGAAGGGTTTGGGGTTTTTTTGAACATTATCAGAGGCATATATTGTTTTTCAGTAGAAATAGATTTCACGAAAATATTTTTCACATATTACAGATATTGCATTAGTTGATAATATTTTATCCCAGTCTTTTTTCATCATGTCTACAGTTGTTTGGGATTGATTTCTCTCTTTCTTCCTCTCTTCCTTCCTTTAATTCTTTTGCTTTCTTTCATCTCCTTTGTTTTGTGATGTATCATATTGTATTTTGTATAGTCCAAGTTCAAATACCAGAGCCACCGCCCCTCTTTCCAAAGTGCTTGCTTTGTGAGTGAAATAGACTCGGAGTCCTGTAGTGATTTCATGCTCTTTATTGCAGCTTGTAAAACCTCAGGCTTTTATATACATTATTTACACAATGAGTCCCGTCTCATTGGCTGATTCTGCTTCCCTCCTGGGGCCTGATTGGTCTTTCCCTGCAGGCCAATCTTTCTACGATCCTACCAGCCTAATAGGCTGATTAACTTTCTTCGGGAGCCTGATTGGTCTTTTCCTGCAAGCCAATCAGTTGTTGAATTCTAGGATCCTATTTGCCTATTGTTCTAGGATCAAAGCTCAGTGAGGTATGGTGAGTACGCCTGCTACTGAGCTATGGGCTCCTTCCAAACATCATGTGATGGCCTGGGATTCGGACTCGGATGCTGAACCTGAGGAATCCCAGCCTGCACAGGATTCCCTGCCTCCAGAACCAGCTGAGCTGGGGCTGGGGCATGAGACTGAATGCTCCTCACCTGTGCTGGATCCTCAGGTGCAGGCATCAGCTGAGTCTGCTCTGGCTCCTGAGGTGAGGGAGGACCCATTGCCTGCAGGTGCTCCACTCTCAGCCCCATCAGAGGAAGCGGAGGTTGCCTCTGGGTCCAGTAACCCTCCATCCTCTCCTGGGCTGCAGAGGCTCAGGGCAGAGAGGCGGAGGGAACTAAGTTCCCACAGGAGGAGTGCTTGCCTCCAGGCCAAGAGAGGCGAGTCACCTGAGGATCGGGGCCGCCCTATGCCTCGGGGCAGATAAAAGCCAGTCAGCCCCAGTCTGCGGGAGCATCGTTGTTGGTTGCCAGTTCCTGCCTGAACCCTGTCGTGCTTTCCTGCCGGAGTTCCTGACCAGCCCTGCTTCCCTGCTTGGATGCCTGTTCCTGACTTCACCCGACTCCCTGCCCTGCACCCAGCTTCAGCTTTTACAGACTGCCTCCTTGTTGCCTCTTTGACCACGGACTGGACTTGGACCTCGCCTCTCGGCTAACCCATGGGATCAGCACACCACGGGACCAGCACACATCATTTCACATTTCAGTCTTGAGAACAAACACACCTAGGCGCCAGCAGAAATACGACCGGATAATGAATGGGCATGCAAGTCTAACCTTTAGGGCCCTATAACATTCCAACAGCACAATCTCCATTTGTGTGCAAGCAGGACATTCCAATGAACTGAACACCTTTCCATTTTGCCTTCTTAGATTTTTGTAAGCGGTGAATTTTTTGCCACAAGCCCTTTAGGATTTGGAAATCTTAATATGCTCTCTCTCCACCCCACCCTTTAAGCTTATATTATGGCATTTCCAGACACTACGGCTTTTGTGTTCTTCATCATCAACCTTTGACAACTTAAAGAACTCATGACCATGTCAGAAATCAAGGGCGAAACCAAAACAAATAATTGGAAAAGGAGCCATCCTGAGGCATGGCTACATCTTCTAAAGGAGGCTGGCATAATGCGGCTGTTGGTTGTTTAATGATGAGATATTATTGCCGTTGTCTTCTATTGGGGATGTGTTGCGATATTGCACCTCACAGAAAAGCATTCTGCTAGAGTAGCAGCTGCCAATCAGTATGCTTCACCACAGCCTTGTCACAGGTGCCTCAAAATGGAGGTTTATAGTTGCTCACTGAGCCATGGATCTTGCCTGTCGACCCTAGTCGACAGGAGAGAATGAACCATTAAATCGTCATATGTTGCATTTTATGTATACCATATGGACCTCCTTCAGCTAGATAGTTTCAATGTTTATAAATAATTGCTCTGAACAAAGGCACCCAAGGCTACAGAAAATGGAAAAAAACCATAAAATAATTCAGCATTAACAGAATTTCGTATGTCCAAAATTCACTATAAGAACCTAATTCCCAGGACTCAGCTAAAGGTAAAGGGACCCCTGACCATTAGGTCCAGTCACGGATGATTCTGGGGTTGCAGCGCTAATCTCGCTTTATTAGCCGAGGGAGCCTGCATACAGCTTCTGGCTCATGTTGCCAGCATGACTAAGCTGCTTCTGGTGAACCAGAGCAGTGCACGGAAATGTCGTTTACCTTCACGCTGGAGTGGTATCTATTTATCTACTTGCACTTTGACGTGCTTTTGAACTGCTAGGTTGGCAGGAGCAGCAACATAAGCTCACCCCGTCGCGGGGATTCGAACCACTGAGCTTCTGATTGGCAAGCCCTAGGCTCTGTGATTTAGATCACAGCGCCACCCGTGTCCCTTTCAGGACTCGGCTACACAACTGCAAATGAAATGTTTTAAATGTGTTGTAAAGTGCAATATATAAATGTGTCACTAGATGGCGAGAGTGAGCTATGCAAAATTCAATATATTTTTCAAAACTTTAAAAAAACAAAAACATTCTCACAGCATTTTCAATATGTGTGTATAGATTCCACCCCAGTCTCATTTTAATCTGGGTTGGGGTGGCCAGATGTAATGTGGCTGGAAGAAGGCACAACTCAGGCAAAGGGCTGTAGATCCATAGTAGAGGACATGCCTTGCATGTAGAAAGTTCCAGAGTCAATCCCCAGCAATCTCCAGGTTAAGCTAAGAAAGCCTCCTAATTGAAACTCTGGCATAATAATATGGAGCTTAATAGGCCGATGATTTGACTAAGTCTATGACAGATTCCTATGTTCCTGTTCTAAAGTTTTACACATGGGAAAGCAAGTGTGAGGAAGGCATACAGGATTCAGGCACCTAGATTTAGTGACACTTATATGGAGAGCCTCAACAGATACACAAGGCACTGCGGGATGTAATCCACTGGGAGCAGTCAAGAACAACATCACCTGTTTTGCTAGAGTGGTCATGCAAGGGATGTTGGTCCAGTCTGTTGAACTTCCTGTTACACCTGGCTGGAGCATCCTTCCTTGCATGTGACCGGTAGGTGGGCGTGACCTTTCCAGACCTGGTAAAAGGCCAAGTCACGCAGCCACCTCCCTCTCTTTGATCTTCTTTTTCGTCTTGTGAACTTCCTGATTCACCCGGACTGTACTGTGGGCTGCCAACCATCAGTCTCCCCAGGCAGTCTCCCCAGGTTATCTCCCATATGGGGTAAACCTGTTTGTACATGTTTGTAACTTTAAGCCTAAAGCCTTCCTTCAGGGATCACACTGTACTCTGCCTGATTGTGAGTAAAACTACTTTTTGTTACTTATGAATAAGACTGTGGTGTCTTTACAGTGGTACCTCTGATTAAGAACGTAATACGTTCTGGAGGTCTGTTCTTAACCTGAAATGGTTCTTAACCTGAGGTACCACTTTAGCTAATGGGGCCTCCCGCCGCTGCCGCACAATTTCTGTTCTCATCCTGAGGCAAAGTTCTTAACCCGAGGTACTATTTCTGCATTAGCAGAGTCTGTAACCTGAAGCATCTGCAACCTGAGGTACCACTGTATTCTTTTAGGAGAGATCAAAGGGGTCTTCCCAGGAATAATAGAACATATCTCAACCTGGGCAAGCCAGATTGAATTGTTTATTGTCTGAAGAGGCTCACACGAGTTTGCAGCCAGCTTTCTGCTGTGTAAGAAGGGAAATGCACTCTGCTGTATAAAGAAACTTGCTAGCACAAATTAGGAAGGATATTAATAATCAATATATCCTCTCCTGCCACCTTCAGCATTTCCACAGGCACCTTTCTGGAGATTTTCACTGTAAATGCACACACAAAAAAGCAAGCCAGAGGAGTTGCACAGCTCTAAGGGCTGTTTTACCTGGGTTCCCTCTTCAGGTGAGAATGCTAAAGTGCTTTAGGAGGATGTAATGGAGCTCCAGCATCATAGTTACGTGGCAAATGCTCAGTGCCAGCGTATGATCCAAAAATAGTGTTGGACTTCAGCCTGAACCATTCTTCTCAGTCATGAACCCACGAACAGAAGAATATCCCTCAATGCTGGTTTTTCTATCTGCAAAATAGCAAACTTCGCTGGACTATTGTGAGTACGGCCACAGTGAGGCGGTTTGTAATCTATCTTGTATTCTAAAATGCAACAGAATTGGTAAGTTTCCCACGCCATGAGGAAAACAGCAGTAAATGTCAAGACATTGCAAGCTGAACAGCTTTTGGATCACATGTCATATTGATAAACAGCAGTGATATATAGAAATATAGACACGCACAAACATATACAACCGGAGAATAATAATAGAATCATAGAGCTGGAAGAGACCACAAGGATAATCTAGTCTAACCCTCTGCAATGCAGGGATCTTTTGGCCAATGTGGGGCTTGAACCCACAACCCTGATATTAAGAGTCTCATGCTCTACAGACTGAGCTATACCAAGCTTTGTATTTGTATACCATTTGATTGCAGTAAAACCTCTAAATGGTTTACAAGAAAATACAAGAATAAGATGGAAGGGCTCACAGCATTAAGACTCCAACAGACCTTGTTTGACCATTAATTTTTCTGGAAAGTCCACCAAAGCTATAGGTATGGTTTCAGAACAGTAAGTCAGGTTGTGGTCTTCCCAGCTCCAGCCTTCTCAGACTAGGTCTGACCTATTTTTCCTCCTATCTCTAGGAGGATGTGGCATCCATCCAGGTGATGCAGGTGGGGGCAAGCCTACTGAAAGCATCTCTAGCCAATTGTTTCCATGGCAACAAAGTCAACTCGTTAGATATGTAGAAAACAACAACAGTGTTTGACAAGCTGGCTAACAAAGAGACAGTCTTGACTTTTTCAGCAGTTATTTTTACTACAAACGCCTGTCTTAGAGATACAAAATCTACTGAAAGGGTTGCAAAGCATCATCCAAAACAATCCCCTTCATTCCTTAACAATAGATGGTAGATAAACAGATGGATATATATATATAGTTGAGCAACCCAGAATAAACCCTTGTATTCTTTAAGCTGAACAAGCAATTAAAAACAAGCAATGGCTTGGTCATCCATACAGTGAGGAAGTTTATCCTAAAGAGAACCACACAACCTTGAATGAACAAGTAGAAGCCTATGGAAACATGATTTATTCACATTTATATTGTATATGAAAAATGAGTGTGCCCCTTCCATATTGTGAAACAACAGCAGTTTGAGGGCAAGGATCAGATGGGTTTTTAACCATCTAGACTTGGAAACAACAACAGCAGTCACAAAACTCTACTAGCACCACTAACAGAGAAAGTACACATTTTTCATGCAGTGAACCAAATTGCTTTTTTGCTCAACACAAAACATCTGAGGTTCAAACAGCAGCAATTCTTGTTTCAGTGGCAGGATACATCTATTATACAGGTGTACCAAATAATGCCCCCTCCCACCAAAAAATATGATTTTGTTTACCTCCCGGGATTATCTCATCACTGAAATAAATGACTATTGCAGGGAATAAATAAACCAATCTGTCTAATAACCATTAATGTGCCCTCCTGCCTTGACTAATATTGGAAGTGGGAAAGGTCACATCTATCAAGCATTAATGTTTAGGGTACTCAATCTGAACAAGATATCTTGAAACAGGCTGCAGTCCTGTACAAAGTTATTTAGAAGCAACTGCTTGTGGCTCAGTAGAAGTTATCAAATGCAAAGTTGCAGCCACGGAAAAACTATATGTTTTGGAAAGTTACTAGTTCTCTATGCATTTGGACACCTCTTAAAATATCATAACCACATTTTGTGTACATAATGGTTCCCAATATCAAATAGCAGGTTTTCATCTATGTTTGGTTATGATTGAAAGCCATTTTGAATCATGATAGAAGGTTGGACCTTTCAAAGGTGTTCTGATCTTAATCAGATCTTAAGGAGAAGGTTTTGGTCTATGTTTAAGACACAATTTTGAATGAAGATAGTGGAATGAACTTTTCAAAACTCCAATAGTTTTAACCACTGATTTCAAAACCGCACTGGTTTTTTCTTTTCTTTGTTTCCTAGCATTCCCGAGCAGTGCTGGGAATGCTAACCCAGAAATAGAACCTTGGGTTAAGAACTTTGCTTCAGGATCAGAACAGAAATTGTGCAGTGGCAGCGTGGCAGCAGCGGGAGGCCCCATTAGCTAAAGTGGTACCTCAGGTTAAGAACAGTTTCAGGTTAAGAACGGACCTCCAGAATGAATTAAGTTCTTAACCTGAGGTACCACTGTATAAAGGAGGGGGTAAAAACAAGTACAGTGGTACCTCGGGTTAAGTACTTAATTCGTTCCAGAGGTCTGTTCTTAACCTGAAACTGTTCTTAACCTGAAGTACCACTTTAGCTAATGGGGCCTCCTGCTGCCGCCGCGCCGCAGGAGCATGATTTCTGTTCTCATCCTGAAGCAAAGTTCTTAACCTGAGGTAATATTTCTGGGTTAGCGGAGTCTGTAACCTGAAGCGTATGTAACCTGAAACGTATGTAACCCGAGGTACCACTGTACTGCGTATATTGTGTCATATACAGTGCAAGGACTGAAGCTTAGATTTACACATCATCATCACCATCCTCAATATCAACATTATCATCATATTTTATTATTTAAAGCCCACGCATCTGGCTGGATTTCCTCAGCCACTCTGGGCAGCTCCCAACTATTTCTGGGTTGGCAGAGTCTGTAACCTGAAGCGTATGTAACCTGAAGCATATGTAACCCGAGGTACCACTGTATTGTTTGTACCAGGTATACTTAGACATACATAACCATTCAGATGGTGATTCTTTATCCTAAGCATAGTTGTTCTCACCGGAGCCCCAGTTCTCACTGTGATGCTAACACCTTTGTCTCAGCTGAACTACTTCAGATTGAAGGTGAGAATTCACATGACTGACTGGTCTACCAAACAAGAACTTCAAACTGCACAGAATCCGGATACCAGCATGCATCTAGTTTTCTTCTATTGATGCAGTCGAGAACAGGATAGGTTTTTTGCTGCTGCTGCTGCACCTCTCAGTTGACTCATGTTAAGCTTGCAGTCTACTAAGACCCCTAGATCCTTTTCACATGTATTACTGGCAGTGAGAGCTGGATCATAAAAAAGACTAATCGCTGAAGAATTGATGCTTTTGAATTATGGTGCTGGAGGAGACTCTTGAGAGTCCCATGGACTGCAAGAAGATCAAACCTATCCATTCTTAAGGAAATCAGCCCTGAGTGCTCACTGGAAGCACAGATCCTGAAGCTGAGACTCCAATACTTTGGCCAGCTCATGAGAAGAGAAGACTCCCTGGAAAAGACCCTGATGTTGGGAAAGAGAAGAAGGAGAAGGGGATGACAGAGGACGAGATGGTTGGACAATGTTCTCGAAGCTACCAGCATGAGTTTGACCAAACTGCGGGAGGCAGTGGAAGACAGGAGTGCCTGGCATGCTGTGGTCCGTGGGGTCACGAAGAGTTGGACACGACTAAACGACTAAACAACAACAACTGGCAATCCAGGTGTCCCCTATCTTATATTTGTGCAGGTGTTTCTTCCTGCCTAAGTGCAGATCCTTATATTTGTCCCTATTGAAATTAATTTTGTTAATTTTGGCCCAGTTCTTCAATCTGTTAATTATTTCTTGAATCTAGATTCTGTCTTCTACAGCATTAGGTACCCCTTTCAGTTTGGTATCATCTGAAAATGTGATGAGCATCCCCTCAATTCCTTTATCTGAGTCATTTATAAAAAACATTAAACAACAATGGGTCCAAGACAGAACCTTGCAGCACCCCACTTGTCACTTTTTTCCAGGATGGTGAGGAACCATTACTGAGCACTCTTTGGGTTGGGTTAATCAATCAGCTACAAACCCAGCTAACAGTTCCCTCATCCAGCCCATATTTTACCAACTTCTCCGCAAGAAAATCATGAGGGACTTTGGTCAAAATCCTTACTGAAACCAAGATACGCTACATCCACAGCATTCCCCTGATCTACCATGCTTGTAACTCTATCAAAAAAAGAGACAAGATTCATTAGGCATGATTTATTTTTGAGAAGCCCATGCTGGGTCTTAGTAATCACAGTATTCTTTTCTAAGTGCCCACAGACCCACTGTTTAATTATCTGTTCTAGGATCTTTCCTGGTATTTGTGATGTTAACATATGAGAGTGCTGGAGGTGAAATAGTTAAACATGTTACCCAATCAGAACCCAGGGGGTGGAGTCAGAGAGACTATAAAACCAGCTCTGGGAGGGGAGAAAGGGGAGTTCGTTGGGAGTTGGGTGGTTGGTTGGAGTGGGAGTGAATTGGGATGGAGTTTGTGGGTAAGTTGAGTTAGTGTAGTGAAATAAGTTGAGTCAGGAACAGTTAGGAGCTAGGAAGACAAGTAAATATCTGAAAGTTGGTTTAGTGAGTGAAAGCAGGTAGCAGAAGTTATAGGTCTGGATAGGCACCCTATGATTGTAATTGACCGATACCGTTTATGAAACCACACGCTTGTTAAACTGCAATAAATAAACAGAAGTTTATGTTCCAATTTAAACCTGACTGGACTCAGTATTGTATCAGGTAGGGCCTGAGTGCTGGCAGCGAGAAATAAAGCGGTGGCACAGGGATCAATAGACGGTGAAACGACCGGGGACCCTGTGTGATCGCCACAGTATTGACATTGTGGTTTGGCATTAATATATAGTAAATAGCAGCCCCCTCAACTTGGTACCCTCCAGGTGTTTGGGACTCCCATCATGCCTTACCTTTGGCCATGCTTGAAAGGGATGATAGTTATAGTCCAAGGCACTGGGGAGGGCACCATGTTGGGGAAGGCTGGTACAGTGGTGCCTCGCAAGACGAAATTAATCCATTCCACGAGTCTCTTCGTCTTGCGGTTTTTTCGTCTTGCGAAGCACAGCTATTAGCGGCTTAGCGGCTATTAACGGCTTAGCGGCTTTAAGAAAAAGGAAACAAACTCACAAGAACTCGCAAGATGTTTCGTCTTGCGAAGCAAGCCCATAGGGAAATTCGTCTTGCGGAACGACTCAAAAAATGGAAAACTCTTTCGTCTAGCGAGTTTTTCGTCTTGCGAGGCATTTGTCTTGCGGGGCACCACTGTATATAAGATATGACAGAGTTTAACCAACACTTCCTGTATGGGCCCTGGATAACTTCCACTTTTCTCTCAATAAATCTCACCACAATTATTTTCAATGCTGCTTTGTTTGTCCCTTGGCTGTGCTTGGACATGGGTCAGTTTCCTGTTGCTTAGAGAATGCCTGATTCTTATCCATTCCACAGGGCAAAAAAAGGGGAAATATCTTAAGTTGTAAGGATATTGGGACCTAAACTTAAGGCTTTACAAACTCAGAATCCTTCCTACTGTCTCTTGGGAACTCAGCCAGCATGTAATCAGTTGTACTGAGATATCTGCAGCATTTCTTTTTGTCAATTTTTAAAATAAATCTATAGCGTAATTAAATCAGCAGACACATCCCTAGCAAAATGTAAATATTATTAAGGACAGCCATGTTTTATTAAGGTCAGAGAAAATGATCTGCAATGAAACTCAAATCATCATTCCCTGTTGTTATTTTTTTGTCATTTTCTTGCCCTTAAATCAGCTTATTTGGGGGACACACTGACATCTTGCAAATCATATACAAATTTATAAAGTGGAGACTATAAAGTGGAAGCTGCTGGGATATATCTCTCATATTTATTGCATAATCGAATCTGTAACTTAAATGTGATGCGAGTAAAACTAGCTTTCTTTATAATAATGAAGCGGAACTGAAGAGACAAATCTGCCTTTTTCTAGGGCATATCATCCATACAGACAGCAGTGACAAATCTGACTATATACATCATGGGTTTTTCAGAACATTTGACAAGAGTTAATTAATTGGTTTTATTCATAACTAATCAGTGATGTCACTGGAACTAAGTTTGTTTTATTAAGTTCTTGTATATAGGAATAGGTTATATAGTGCATTCTGATGATATACTGGCTCCATACAGATAGCTCAAAAACTATGGTTAAGGAAGCGTAAGTATAATATGGTGTGATGTCTGAGTTAATGATGTGTGAATTCCCTCCAATGGAATCTAATTTAGGCCACTAATTAAGAGCTTCCTCTGTAAATTATCAAAGTAAAGGTAGCTCTTTTTTTTTAGGGAGGAAAAGTTCTCAATTGGCTTACATGATTTTGGTGCCTGTTCATGTATCATATCCCAATGCCCTTACTGTTGGTTGGCTTCAAGGCAAGATGGCAATGCCAAGAGGTCTAGTGGCAATAGAGGGGAAAGCCTCACCCCAAAACTTTTGGATGACTACCATCTTAGCATAGGTGCCTGTCCCAGAGGTGGAAAGTGACAGACCCATTTTAACTTTTCCAAATGGTTAGGAAGGTTGGTTGAATAGGGCCTAATGCATACGATTTGGAACTGAGCTATAGTAAGGCAAAGGTAAAGGGACCCCTGACAATTAAGTCCAGTTGTGAATGACTCTGGGGTTGCGGCACTCATCTTGCTTTATTGGCCGAGGGAGCCAGCATTTGTCCGCTTCCGCAGACAGTTTTTCTGAGTCATGTGGCCAGCATGACTAAGCCGCTTCTGGCAAAACCAGAGCAGCACACAGAAACGCTGTTTACCTTCCTGCCGGAATGGTATCTATTTATCTACTTGCATTGGTGTGCTTTCAAACTGCTAGGTTGGCAGGAGCTGGGACCGAACAACGGAAGCTCACTCCATCATGGGGATTCAAACCACCAACCTTTCGATTGGCAAGCCCAAGCGGCACAGTGGTTTAACCAACAGCGCCACCCGCGTCCCATAGTAAAGTACCCATTGTTTATATCCCAAACCTGTGGCAAACTTGTTGCCAGGGACTGGCTGAATGAGATAGGATGGTAGATGCCTCCTGCCCAAGAACTGCCCAGGGAGGGCACAGAAGATGACGACTTAGATCCCGGATCCTGGTGCTGGGACACCGAAGCGTAGTTTGTGGAAGTGATGAGTTGGGAATCACTAGAAACAAGGCGTTTGAGTGATCAAGAGGGGTCAGGAGAAGGAGGGTCTTCCAGGACAGGGTTAGAGGCTGAGAGTCACAGTGTGAGTGCAGACTCACAGAAAGGAGTCAGAGACTGGCCCTGCTACCCAGCAGGAGCACAGTCCCAGTGCTGCTGGCTTACCACCCCACCCCCCGACACCCCACTCGAAGACAGTCCTGCACATTGCTGAGCAACAGACCAGACAGGCCCAGAGGAGGAGCTCATCCCTTGGACGCAGACTTCGTCTGCTTGGGAGGGATCCTGAATGAA